AGACAGCTCAGTTGTTTGGGTGTATTTGCAGAGTTGTGCAAGTTCACGTCAGTGTAATTTTAGAATTTTTCCATGTCATAGTGCTATACAAACAAAATGCTGAGGGCTGGGGTATTGGCTCAGTCTGTTTAGCATTTGCTGTGCAAGCATGGGGACTATATTTGGATTCCCAGCCCCCACGTGAAAGGTAGGAGTGGCGGTGGTGTTTATCTGTAATCCTAGCACTGGGGAGGCAGAGATAGGGAGATTCCTGGAATTCTCTGGCGAGGTTGTCCTGCTTAATCAGTGAGCTCCGGGTTCAGCGAGAGACTCTGTTTCATAAGGTAAGGTAGAGAGATAGAACAGATCCAGCGCCAACCTCTGACCTCCAACCTCGGACCTCCATACACTTGTGTGCACACATGAGCATATACTGCATAACACGCATGCGCCACCACCACAGAAATATCTACAGCTGGATTGGTGTCCTTGCAATATAAAATAAAAATCCTCTGGAAAGACAAGTTTGCTGAAATTTCCTTGTTTCTAAGTCTGTAATTTGAATAAATAGGTGGGAGGAGCAGTCCTGAATAGATTATAAAAACTACGAGGCTGCCAAGATGCCACTTGGCAGGCAAACCTGATAGTTCAAGGTGGATCCCTGGAACTCGAATGGAAGAGAGAACCAGTTCCTAAAAGTTCTCAACTGACACGTGTGCCATGGTGCAAGCCTGCACACACATGTGTAACACACATAATCTTAAGAGAAAATATAACGTGAAACTGCACAGACATTTTTTTCTTTTCATTTCTTTTCCACGGAGCCTCTTGTATCCCAGGCCAGACCTAAACTTACTGTATACCCAAGATGACTCCGAAAGTCTTATCTTTCTGTCCATGTCCCAAGTGCTGTGACTTCAGACATACATCACCATGTCCACATTGTACTGAGGACCAAACCCAGGGCTTTATACATCTATCTAGACAAGCACTCCAGCAACTGAACTAACCAAGCGAAATGCCTAGGAACCTATGGATTCCCGGTATTTGCTAATAAGCATCCCCATTCGCTCACCAGAGTAAAAGGACCCAGGACTCCCTGTATTTGAAGAGAACAGGAGAAGCGCTAAGTTAGGTAAAGGAAATGGCTCTCCAAAACAATTCTCACTAATGACAGGAAGGATGGAGGGGAAAGGACTGTGGATGGAGGAGCAAGTGGTTGTGAAGCCTGCGTACTTAGAAGGCAAGGCAAGATCAACACTGATCTGTGTGTTCACAAGCTAACCTGCTGGGATTTAGTTATGTGATTTCATGACCCAAGTTATTAACTAATAGCTTCTCAATGATACTTCTTTGGAATACCCAGAAGAAGAAAAACGAAAAAGAAAAAGAGAAAAAAAAAAAAAAAGAAAAAGAAATAAATAAAAAAGATACTTCTTTAATTCAAACTCAATGTGCTGATTGGGAGTGGGAGTTACCAAATACAACTTGTATGTGTGTGTGAGTGTGTGTGTGAAAACTGTCCTTATCCAAGTATTAATGGTCAAAACTTAATCAACTCTTCGCTTGGCCCTCATAAGAAGCACCAGGCTCATGAGCAACATTAGCTCTGTGCTCGCTCATGGGCTTAAGGACATCAAGTACTTGGCGGCTTTGACATTTCTTTCCTCTTTGCTCTTTGGCCTATCCTGAGGAAGGCATGGCCATGTGCTGTGACGGTGTAATAGGTGACCTGCAACTGTGAAGAGAAGGAAAAGCCGCAGAGGCTGCTCTGACTGCCAAAGTCAACACGCTGGATCCCCCTCCCAGTAAGACCGCGGCAACAGTTTCCTCCACGCCCCATGGAAAGCCCCATGCAGTCACAGATGGCCTGGTTTCACCCAAAGCTGGACATGCTTAGCCTAGTGCAAAAGTTTAGCATGTCGTTCCTCTACCCACGTGAAGATTTTTGTTGTTTTTACCTTCAGCTCTTGGTCTCAGTTCAGTCTCTTCCCCACAACGAGTATCTTTCATCTCCTCCCCCCCCCCCCAGAGTCCTCTGTTAGGCAGAGATATGACTTGGCAAGATCTTGACATCTTGACTACAGGTAAACTTTGTATTTGTGTCTTAAGTACCTTTGGGTTGCTGTGATAAAACACCACAACACAGGTTGCTTGGGGAAGAAAGTGTTTATTTTGGCTGATGGTTCCAGAGGATTAGGGTTCCTGAGGGCAGAGAAGAGGCATGGTGGCTTGAGCAGGAAACAGAGAGCTTACGTCTTCAAGCCGTGAGCACAAAGCCGAGAAAAATCAACTGGAAATGGTAATGAGCCTTTACATTCTCAAAGCCCCTTCCAGTGACATACTTTCTATAACAAGGCCACGTGTCCTAAACCTCCCCAAACAGTGCTATTAGCTAGGGACCATGTATTCAAATGGCTAAGATATGGGGGATATTTCTTATTTAAACCAAGACAACTTGCTACCAGAAGACACAAGCATTGTGCTTGTGCAGGTTTGAAAGAATGGGCACTACCAACACCTACGAGGCTTAGAGCTTTGACTTGGAGCTGTAGTGAGATGACTCAAAGGCTCAAGGGAACTGTTTCTGAAGATAGCAGCAAGATGCCCCATAAACTCAGGAGGGTCCTGCTTCACCCCAAAGCCTTGGGATTTGCAAAGGCAAAGTCAAGGGCTAAGGTAAACCTTATTGTCTGGCCATGGGGACACCCAGCGTGCAGTTGGTAAACTGGAAGATAAGTCAGATAGGAGAACAAGGGGCAACTGGCATCCATGACTGTTCCTCCTACCTACCACTCCCTCAAGGGAGATAGGCCAACTTTCACCCATTCCAAAATGAGACAACTTGTCTGGGCTGAGCACCATAAAAGGCTAAATCAAATGGATTGTAGCCCATCTCCCCAAATGCAAATGCGTGCAGAATGAATCCACAAAATCCAGCTGAAGGCATCCTTCCTGAGCTGCTCTCCCCCTAGATGGGTTCAAGATGAGTACTCCTGTGCTCCAGTCCTCTGCTTTCCTACTTTACGGCCCAGCTGTCCCAATTCTTTAGATGCGTGGGACTCTGCTGAGGCACCATCTTTGCTTCCAGCAGCTTTCTCCATGCAAAATCCCACTACTAGTTAACAGCTGCACACCCCTGGCAGATCAGGTGGCTCCTCCCTCACCAGTGCAGCTACACATACTTCACTTGCAAATATTCAGCTATACATACTTCACTTGCAAATACCCAGCTATACATACTTCACTTGCAGAGATACCCAGCAGCTTCTCGTTTGTTTGAAATCTGTTCCTCACAAGAAGCAATGATTCTAAGAGTAGGGTTGTGGGAAGGATCAAGAACATTCGTTCCCTCTTTCCCATCCCATGCTGTGGATTAAAAGTGCGAAACAATGGTCGTGCTAATAGCATAGATATGGTGTGTGTGTGTGTGTGTGTCTGTGTGTGTGTGCGCGCGTGCGTGCATGTGAATGTGGGTGTTTGTTAGTTTGGGGTTTTTTTTGTTTGTTTGTTTGTCAGCTTGACACAAGTGTCATGTCATCTGGGAAGAGTGAACCTTAATTGAAAAATGCCTGCAGGAAAATATGTGGAGTGTTGTCTTGGTTAATAATTGATATGGGAGGGCCCAGCCCACAGGGGCAGTGCACCCTTGGGCAGGTGGTCCTGGGAGATACTAAGGAAAGAAGTTGAACATGAGCCTGGAGAACACAGCAGGCATCCTCTGCCGTTCTGCTTCAGTTTCTGACTCCAGGCTTGTGCTTGTTGTAAGATGACTTGCTGGTTTCAGTCAGCGCTCTATTGCAGCAACAAAAGTCAGCTAGGACGATGTGTGAGCCACTCAACAGTCTTCAGAGTGACTCTTTCTTGTGGGTATTATCTTTATTTTTCGAGGACACTGAGATCAGCAAGGTTTATTGATGGCTGACTACTGTGTGAACACCCAAAATTCCAAAGCAAAACCTTAATCCGCAATGTGATGATGGTATTACAAGGTCAGGAGCTTGAGAGACTATTGGGAAAGAGGGCTCTGCCTTCAAGAATAGGACTCGTTCCCTGACTAAAGATGCTTCCAGGAGCCCGTTTCCTCTTCTTCCATGATGGCAGTAAGAAGATGCCATCTCCAGAAAACTGGTCCTCACCAGACACCAAATCTTAGTGCCTTGTACTGGCTGGTTTTGTGTCAACTTGACACAAGCTAGAGTCATCGGAGAGGGAGAGGAAGGAGCCTCAGTTGAGGAAATGCCTTCATGAGATCCAGCTGTAAGGCATTTTCTCATCTAGTGATCAGTGGGGGAGGACCCAGCCCGTGGTGGGTGGTGCCATCCCTGGGCTGCTGGTTCTGGGTTTTATAAGAAAGCAGGCTGAGCAAGCCAGGGGAAGCAAGCCAGTAAGCATCACCCCTCCATGGCCTCAACATCAGCTCATGCCTCCAGGTTCTTGCCCTGTGTGAGTTCCTGTCCTGACCTCTTCTGGTGGTACAATGTGGGAGTAGACGCTAACACACCCTTTCCTCCCCAGCCCTGTGGTCTTCTAGCGTTACTAGAAACACTAAGACATCTTCGGCCTCGGACGCCTCAGGCTGTAGAACTGTGAGCGACCACTTCTGTTCAGACTGACCAGTCTGAGGAGTTCTGTCACTGTGGCCCAAGGACACTGCAGGGGTCCTCTGTGTGGCTCTCTTGGCCCTCACCCAGGTTTTAATGTTAGTTTTAGCAAAGTTCTGCTAACTGTCGCATTTTAATGATGATCCAGTTAACAAACATTTAGCCTTAGATCCAAATTATATTTAAAAGATTTCTCCTCTCTCTCTCTCTCTCTCTCCCTCTCTCTCTCTCTCTCTCTCTCTCTCTCTCTCTCTCTCTCTTTCTCTCTGTGTGTGTAATAATTAATAGAGGACCAAGCTGGGATTCAAATCCAGATAGTTTGACTTCATGGCAGTGTTCCCGAGTATAGTGGGGCAGATACAGTGACAAGTTGAAAGAATTTAAAAATACCAATAAAATCACCCAGAAGTCAGAATGGAGCTTCAATATCACTGAATATTTTTAATTTTTAACAGCAGTAATGAAACATTTTCCTCCTTGGGTGGACCACTCCTCTGGACTTAGTAGGCTGGATACTGTCCTGTCTACATGTGGGGCCAACCTGGAGCAGTCACAACACAATTCAGAGGAAATCACAACTGGAAAACTGAGAATGGCCGAGAAAAAAGATAGGAAGACTTTGGGCTTATACTTTTTGGTCTGTTGTTTACTTTTTAAAGTTACTGTGGCAAAATGCACCTATGGAAACGTATTGTTTTAATCATTTTTTAAGTGTACAGTTTCATAGCATTAGGTCCATTCACAATATATCTAGCAAGGGCTTTACCAGAACTTCCCCATTACTCTAAACCAACCTCTTCAGCTATTGAAAAATTAGCATCCTATTTCTCTCGCTACAGCCTCTGACTGTCTCTGTGACTCTGTCTCTATGAATTTATCACATATATGTGAAAACATGTGATATTAACTTTTTAAATATAATGTTAATTTATGTTTTAGCACATGTCAGAATTTTACTATTTTTCAAGGCTGTATAATATTCCACTGCAGGAAAGAACCTAGGTCTTGAGTGACCTCATTAAGCCACCGCATCTTCTAGGATGCCTAGAAGTGAGATAAACTATCCTTCCTTCCTTCCTTCCTTCCTTCCTTCCTTCCTTCCTTCCTTCCTTCCTTCCTTTTAGTTTTTCAAGACAGAGTTTCTCTGTGTAACTGTTTTTCTGGAACTTGCTTTATAGCCCAAACTGGCCTTGAACTCATTAAGAGCTACCTGCCTCTGCCTCTGGCTTGCTAGGACTAAAGGCGTGCACCACCACACCTGGCAATACACCATACTTCTTCTTTACTTCTTTACTTCTATACTTGGTGGAGAATTGTTTGTTCAGGCATAGCTCACATCCTTCTACAGCAGCTCCCAGGCGGGTGGCACAGAGTACCCAGGACAACTTGCTGGCACGTGGCAGAATTTCTCCGGATCATTGATGTGTTTATCTAAAGCCATGTATGTGAGCATTAACATAGACCCATGAGGCCCACGTCTCTGCCTCCCTTTATCATTAGTTATTTTGGTAACCATTTCTTGCTCATTTTAACACTTATAATTACTCAGTACCTAACATTTAGCTCTTCATAAAACCAAAAACAAAACAACAACAACAACAACAAAAAGCCTGCCGAGCTCCAGGTTGCCGGAACATCGTGCCATGCTCTTTCGGGAACATGGATTGATGTTTCTCAGAATACTTTTCTACCGTCTTCACTGGAGATGAAAGAGAAGAAAAACATTTGTTAAGAAATGCCACCCAGCATCAGTTCCAGTTTGGCAGGCATGTGAAGGGTGGGTGGTTAATGTCTTATTATTATACGGCACTTGTGAAATTGAAAGCATTACAGCAATAATAGTAGCAATAATAATGAAGGGAGAGTTAGTAAAACTGAAAAAGACGAAATGAGTAGTGAGTTACCCTGGCAAAGAAAGTGGAGAAAATGCCATGAAGGCAATCACCTTCTCTGGGAAGCAGACCCGAGGTCTGACTGATTCGCAGGCTCCTTGTGGGGCACAGTGGCTATAAAGAAGTGAGCGGTGACAGTTGGGGATCCAGGGAGGTGAGGACCAGGAGACACATGAACGGGGAGGAATGCCTTTGTTCGTGGGTTCCTATAATATATATATATATCTTTAAAAAACCTGAGTAGCTGCATGTGGTGATGCATACCTTTAATCCCAGCACTTTCAAGGGTAGAGGCAGGTGGATCTGCGAGTTTGATGCCCAACTGGTCTACACAGCAAGTGTCAGGGCAGCTAGGGCTACATAGAGAGAGCCTGTATAAAAACAAAACCAAAAAACCTGAGTAAGCATGTATAGATTCTTTTCTGTGACTGTCATTAAAAATCAATTATGATGCAAAATATCAATTCATTGTAAGCATGCATTATGTCTTCTGCAACGATCACGCTATGTAGTACCTTATGAACATTTAAGGCTTTGCTTGTTGCTTTCTGGCTTCCAGTTTTTCCTGTCCTGGGAGCGTACAAAAGCCTTTAGAGATTCATCAATCCAACCCTTTCATTTCCTAGACAAAGGAGAATGGCTGCCCACTGGCACATTCATCCTCAGTGGCAGAGATTGGCTTGCAAGTAGGTCTCCTGGCCCCCACTGGGCACTTTCTCATTATTTGACATGACTCACCCTTAGCCACAAGCCCAGCCTGTGCTTGTTTGCCGAGCTTCGGTCTCAAATAGGCTGTGGTTCTGTGAGGGAAAGGTACAGGTCCGTGTGGGCCTATTAGACCCAGAAAGGGGAGATGCTAAAAATACAGTCTCTGCCCAAACACACACCACACCCACACCCAGTCTGACCACCCTAGATAAGAAACATCCCCTGAATCAATCACTGTGTATGAGGGACCTTTCTAAGGGTTCACATACGAGGTTATTGATTTCAGAGGCAATCAGCTAGAGAATCACATGCTTTTTACAAGCTCTGCGAATAAAACCCCGGTTACAGACGGGAACTGGGAGGTCAGGGGACATCTCTCCACAGAGTCCCTAGTACCACACTCTCAGAATGATTGCTAATTCATGGTGGAACCTGGTTCCAGACTCCAGCACAAACAAAACCACAGGGGGTTGGATTATTATCAAAAGCCGGACCATTCTGACATCTACTTCTGATCTACTACGTGTGTGCGTCCACACGGCACATGTCCCAATCTGGCCATCCGTGTTTCTGCTTGACAGCACCAGGATGCTTTGTGGTACCATTCCTGAGAGAAATAGGAATGAGGTGGTCAGGCCTCTCACGATCAGAGCCATTTTGTTCATGTCTTTTGAGGACTTTTAATACCGTAGTTTGGAAATGTCTGTCATGCACGCCTGTTCACAGTAACGTAAGAAATGAGTTAAGAATATTCATAAACTGTGGAAACTATAAAAAAGTGCTAGAAACTGACAGCCTGGAGTTTATCATCAGAAAGTACCACAGCCCCAAGCCTGCCGAAATGTAGCTTTCCTGTGCTCCACAGAGTTCTTGAAAGCAGCCCCACTCATAGAGAAGCATTGCCTAGACACTGCTTTCTCAAGTGAAGATGAATCATTTTGTTTACAAAACAGGAGCCAGCCGGGTGTCTGCTTTGTCTGAGGCAACGAACTGTCCCCGCAGCGCAGTCCGCGTCTCCTTCCATATCGTTCGCTGCCTCTCGTACACGGACTCCTGGAAAATCCTCTCCACTTGGGTAGAAAAGCCTCGGCTTTCTTCCTCTAAGGCGTTGATGGTCTGTAGCGCCAAGGGAGTCCGTTCCCGAGGGAGGGGGCTGTTCAGGGGCCGCATGGGAATGACGGAGTTGTACTTGTGCTGCCTGTTCACAGAGTTCATCAGGGAGGTGTAGAACTGGAAGTTACACCAGGTGTCGCGTAGGAAGTTTTCAGTCAGTAACAAGATGGTCCACGCAGACCCATTTACAGCGTCGTCTAGATTCTGCAAATGCAGCCTGCCACACGGCATCTCGGCAAAAATGATCCCCGGCCTGATACCAAAGTCATTTTGCAGCAGATCCTGGACCCTGAGGGCCTCATCTATGTCGTCCTCTGCATGCAGGATCACAAATTTGAGGAAGACTTCTTCTTCAGCTTCCTCCTCAGGCATCTCTCCTTTTGCCTCAGCTCCCTCCTGCTCTCCTGTCGGCGGCTCTGTTCTGTTGCTGTGCTCCACAAAACCATGCAAGGACGCATCCTTAGAATCCTCCGATTCATGGCGGTCTGGAGCTGCATCCTCACTGTGTCTCTTGTGCCAGGAAAGAGGGCAGTGATCTAGTTTAGACTTCCCAGCACCCATGGCAGGCACGTGGAGCAGAAGAGGGAGCTTTACTTGAGTCTCAGCATTTCTTCTCAATCTAAAAAGGGAATAACAAAACAGGATATTATATGTTTAATCAAAACATTAAAAAAAACCCTTTTATTCAAACTGAAAAAAACTAAAAATAGAAAAACACTGTAACATAAAGGCCTAAGAAAGAAACAACGGCCAATCAAGAAACCAAACTATCAGGCTTTTGTGAGTTTCACGAGGGCTGCCAGAGACGAGAGAAACATTTTGGTAGCAAACAGATACAAATGATGAGAATGTCCCACAGATTGCTCTGCTGAGTCAGCACCAAGGGACCTGCAATGTCGGTGTGCAGGATTCACTGAATTTCCATGGCAGTGGACGTGTTGGAGAAGAAATTAGGCTACACGAAACCATCGTTCCCCAGGTGGTCCTCAGGATGCTAGAGAACAAATATCCACCCGAGGAAAGTTAACAGCCCAGTTTGTGTCAAAATCTAGGGACTGAGATCTGCGGCTTTCTCGAGTAAAGCCAACCGAGGATGCATTCCCACTTATTCTTTTGTGATCTGAGATTCTGGAATTAGAAGAATTAAACCAGCTGCAAAAGAAGCGTGACCCACATGAGTGGGATTTAAGTCATTCCAGAAGATGTTGGCAAGGTTAACGTCAAGGGAGAATCTTTCATCAAAAGACAATTTAGACTAACGAATACTACTTTCATATTTTCAAATATAAGCTACGGGATATATCATCTATTATTTATGCTCAAAGACCAGATTCAAAAATAAACTAGGCTTTTGAGCCTATGCTTTTCCCCAGCTTGCACACGCTCTTGGTGCCCTCTTTCTCTTTCTTAATGACTTCCTCTGTTTATACAACCATATATGTGTATACAGCCACATCCGCAATGACCCAAAAAGCACAATGGCAAGGGTCCATATAATTCAGATTTAGAAAAAGTGGTGACACTGTTGGAAAAACACACCTGGAATATTATTCTGGTACATGGAGAGGATAAAATCCCTTGCTGCTGCTTCAGGTTGGTGAAGGAATTGTTAGTCCCTGTTTGTCACGTGTGGTATTTGTTCTTTAAGGCTGGCTCAAAGGTGCTAGTTGACCAAGAGGCAGTCTAATGCGCCACTCTAAAATGTAGCCCGCGTGCATTAGAAATAATAAAACCTAATTAATTTGCCATTCTTCATTGGCTAGGACTCACTGCTGCCTTTTGTTACTGGGGAGGGTCTCATGAGGTCACTGCTCATCACGTGTGTCTGTGTTTAGTCTGGCTCACCTTTTAAAAAAAGGCAGTGATTCTTGGACATATACCCAAAGGGTACTTTATCCCACCATAGCAACAACTGCTTAGTCACAACAACAAGAAATTAGAAAGAACCTACATGTCCCTCAAGAGATGAGTGGATGAAGAAAATGTGGTGCATTTATACAATGGAATATTACTCAGCCATCAAAAATTAAAACATTAAATTTGCAAGTAAATGGATAGAACTAGAAAAAGTTATCCCGAGTAAGTTAACCCAGACCCAGAAAGACAAATGTAAGTATTCACTTATATGTGGAGATAGTCAATAAGTCAATGGTAAGCAAGGTATAATCCATAGAACCACATCCGTTAGGTATAGAGTAAGTGGGTGCAGATAGACATCCCCAGGACAGGGGAATAGTATATTTATGAATGGATGGATGGGAGACTGGAACGGAAGGATCGAGAGGGGAAGGAGAGCGAGGAGGATGAGGGAGGGAATATGGAGCGACACCTAAAATTAACAGCCATTTGAGGAAGGGTGTGGAAACAACAGAAACTTTTTAAAATATATACACAAATGAAGATGAGCTAATGAAGGAGCCAAATAATGGGGGAGACAGATACCCAACTTGCCATCTCTTGTCATCAGTGAAGCTTCAGGTTCCAGGATTGGATTATATCTAATTGAATTGTTGGCCATAGAGGTCCCATGGGAACCCCCAAAACAACCCAGGCTATTGCCAAGACTATAGGTTGCTCTCCACAAATTGATAGCATTACTAAAGACACCACCTATACAACTCATTGAACATTGAGAAATGGGGTTGGTACCTTCACCCCTATGTTCTAGTGTCTTTGGTACAGCAAAATACTTTGCTGGTGGTGGAAGATACAAAATAATTCCACACTAGTTCAGAATTATGTATAATAAAGGGTTATTTATTTAGGGAAGACTCACAGATCACTGGTCTAAGATCACAGTCCTCTACACGAATGGGGAACAGGAACCGAATCTAAAGGAAGCGAGAACTGGAAGCAAGTGAGCGCATGCTTTACAGCTGTATTTATAGTATAAGAGACCACACCCAAGTGTGCTGATATCTTAAAGGCTATTGGCTGAAGGAGCTGAAGGAGCTCCCACAGTACTCTGCCTGCTTCCAAAGGAGATATATAAACACCACTAATGGTTTGATCTACAATGGTATCCTGTTGGCAAGATATGCTAGTTGCAATGGTGGCAAAAAGTTTGTTTGAGTAACCAACCAATATCTGATTTGACTTAAGGCCCACTCCATAAAATGCAACTCATACACAACACTGCTTGGGTGACCATGAACCTGAGACTAGGTAGCCCAGGGACCTAGGGTAAAACCAAATATGACAGTTCTATAAATAAATAAAAACTAATAAAATGATTCCTAATGACATTTTGAAATACTAATAGATTAGAGCAGAGGTTCTCAACCTTCCTAATGCTGTGACCCTCTAATACAGTTCATGTTGTGGTGACCCCCCCAACCATAAAATTATTTTTCTCGCTACTTTATAACTATAATTTTTCTACTGTTATGAATCATAATGTGAATATATGATCTTCAGATAGTCTTAGGAAACCCCTGTGGTAGGGTCATTAGACCCCTCACAGGGGTCACCATCCACTGGTTGAGAATGAATGATCTTGTTCAGCCTCCATCAAAAAAGCTTCCTTCTACAGCAGATGGGCACAAATACAGAGACCCACAACCAGCCATTATACAGAGAACGAGAGACCTAGGAACACTCACCCTCAAATGTGATGGCTCTGTCAATCCCTCCCCTCAGGGTTCAAGGAACCCCTTGGAAGAGGAGGCAGGAAGAGGACCTGAAAAAAGTGGAAGAGAAAGAGAGGATGGAGGACACTAAGAAAACAAGGCCTGCTAAATCAATGACCAACACACATATGAACTCACAGAGACAGAGGCAGCACACACAAGACTACATGGCAGAGGGAGGGGCAGCCTGCTCTGGTTTCACAGGTTCACAAGAGAAGGCAGAGAGGGGCAGCCTGCTCTAACTGATGTCACAGGATCACAAGAGAAGTTAGAGAGGGGCAGCCTGCTCTAACTCATGTCACAGGATCACTCAGTGCTTGCAGTAAACCAGAATGAGGAGAGTAAATGCAGATGCAGGATCACTGGAGTTTGTCAAAGAAACCTGGCAGAAAATAATGGTGACTTGAGACATAGTGGCCGCAGAGCAAGTGACTGAACTGAGTTATGTTTTGAAAACAGAACAGAAAGGAACCGACGCTGAGCAGGCACGTGATACTATGGAGTTGGGAAAGAGGTTAACCCTGGAGATGCTTATTTGACATTTATCTTCATACATCCTGTTTTTTTCAATTAACAGATAGTGCTTAACTATCTGTTATTGGCCAAGAGGGACTGTTACAGAATATTAATTTAAGATGTATTACATTCATTTATTCTGTAAAACATTTGTTTAATGATGCAAAGATGTGTTGCTTTCTTTTATGTTGCTTTTGTTTAACTCTGTGGAGCTGGGTTACTCTGCCTGTCTAAAGCTCCTTATAGTCTAATAAAGAGCTGAACGGCCAATAGCAAGGCAGGAGAGGGATAGGCAGAGTTGGCAGACAGAATAAATAGAAGAAGAAATCTGGGGAAGGGGGATGGAGGAGTGAGAAAAGGAGGAGAGGAGGACGTGAGGGGCCTGCTACCCAGCTACACAGAAGGCCCACAGAGTAAGAAGTAAAGAAAGGTGTATAGGATAATGATAAAAGCCCAGAGGCTAGAGGTAGATGGGATAACTTAAGTTAAGAAAAGCTGGCTAGAAACAAGTCAAGCTAAGGCCAGGCATTGATAAATGAGAACAAGCTTCCATGTAACTATGTGGGAGCTGGGGGATGGACCCCAAGAGTCAAAGAGTAAAAGGCAACTCACAGCAGGAGACAAGCACTGAGAAATAAGGAGAGCAGAGAGAAGTGCCAAGAGATGAGCAGACTCAGCACAGTGCGGGAGGGACGGACAGATCACTTGGGGAGAGTGCAAAAGGAAGCCAGAGAAAAGCAATATAGAAAACCTGTGTGAAGCCGGGCGGTGCTAGCGCACGCCTTTAATCCCAGCACTCGGGAGGCAGAGGCAGGCGGATCTCTGTGAGTTCGAGGCCAGCCTGGTCTACAAGAGCTAGTTCCAGGAGAGGCTCCAAAGCTACAAAGAGAAACCCGTCTCAAAAAACAAACAAACAATCAGAAAGAAAACCCTTGTGTGTGTGCACATGTGTGCGCAGGATGCAGGACAGCCCGAAGTGTCATTCCTCAGGGCTTACGCACCTCACTTTTCAGACAGAGACTTGGAGCCCAACAGTTAGGTAAGGCTGGCTGGCCACTGAGCCCCAGAGATCTGAGTTTGCTGGGATCAAAATGAACACCTCCACCCTCAACTGTTTTAAAAAATAAACATGGGTTCTGAGGATCAAAACCAGGTCCTCTTGCAAGCACTTTACTGACTGAGTTATCTTCCCAGTCCTAGAAAGTCCACTTTGAAAAATTTTGTCACAAAGAAAAAAGGTAGAAAAAGGAAGGAAGGCTGGGGGGGGGGTGAGAGGATAATTTATAAAGATGTCTATCAGTAGCAAAGAGTAAGAGTTGAAGAGAAAATTATGTATGAAGCAAGGGGCAGGCAGGGATGTGATGGGCAGACAAGAGGGAGTAGTTGGTCTTTGCTAGATAAATGGGCAGAGTTAATGGTATGGATACAGTGTGTGTGTGTGTGGGGGGGGAGAGATTGGTGGATAGCTGTAGAA